GGAACTGAAAATAAAATATCTATGGTACATATAAAATTCTTCCATTCTTGGAAATGTTCTTATTTGGAGATGGGGCACATTTTCATCACAGCCAAGAACACAGGGCAATGATCCCATAAATTATTATAATATTAAGTATTTTTATGTTTGTCATCTTTTAACTATTATTCAACAAAATGGGAAAATGTAAAGAATTTTTCCTAAAGCTAAATATTTTTTTTATTTTAAAATTATGCTCTTCCTACAACTGTTGTTATTAAATGTCCTTTATGGGTTAAAAGTAAAAGGGGACATTTAAAAAAATATCTTTTTTTCCTTTTTTTTACTGTAGTTTTCCCATTACTAAAAAATATCATTATGACTTGGCTGGTTAGCTCACTTGGTTACACTGCCTTTCCACTATGCCAAGGGTTCAGGTTTGATCCTGGGTATACACATACTAGAATGCATAAATAAGTGGAACAACAAATATGTATATCTCATGAATCAATAACATTTTCAAAAATCTTTGCTATAGAAAAATTTTGTCATCAGCTCGCGCCCCCCCACACACAATTTTATCCTATTTTTTGTAACTTTACTTATCTATAAAATTCAAAAGGCTAAGACCCATTGATTTCAGGAACTATATACAATTAAATTATTTTTTAAGAAACTAACCTGAATAAAGGAAGTACAGATCAAAAGGAAAACAGATCTGAAATATTTCTTAATTTCCCCAAAAGCCATCCACAAAACATTTCAAAGGTGTCAGGTCTCAGGAATACATGTTAATTGATTTGTTAAAGGCATTTCACAGTTGACATCTGCATTACTAATTACCCTCTTCCAATATGTGGATATTTCCAGCTTTCGAATGGGCCTTTAGTGACCTAGATTAGTTCACTCAATCAACAAATATTCACAGAGTCCCTAATTTATGCAAGGTACTCTATTAGGTGCCTGGGGACAGTCTGGAGAGTTCTTTCTTGCCTCCAGTCTCAGGTCAAAGGTCACCAGCTTCTTTGTGGATCCTATCCCTTTCCCCAGGAAAGACTAAAAACCTCCCTTGGGGCTATGTTCTCCTACCAAGACCTACACACCTTTCTGTATGTGATTATTTGTCTTTCTCTCTCACCTGAGAAAATTCTTCCAAAGCAAATACTACCTTATTCAATGCTATCTTCCTGGAACAGTACAGATATAGCTTGTGATCAAGATAAATTTGTGGAATATAGTTTACAGATGAGGAAATTAAAGGTCAGGGGGAAAATATGATACGTCCAACATCATACAGCTAATAAATAAGTAGTACCTGGTCTTAGAATGAGCTCTCACCAGAGCTCTCTACTATTTCACTGTGCTGCATTATACATGCACACAGAATGAGAGAAAGGTCTTAGATGTCTTCCTGGAACTTCAAACTCAGGATGTCCAAAAGTCACTGCAAGTCACTCCTTCTTGAAAAAAGCCAACAAAAATCTGGTCCCCATCCAGTGTTCTCATTCTCCATAAGTGGCATCCCCAGTGGCTCAAGGCAAAACTCAAGTCATCTTGATTCTCTCTTCTCCCTATCCCCATATCCAATCAATCGACAGTCTTATCAAATAGTGTCTTTCTAATCTCTTCCCTTCTCTTCAAGCCCTCTGCCATCACCCTAGATCCCAGCCACCATCATCCCTTACAGAAACAAACAAACAAAAAAATGACTTACTACTTAGTCTTCACACATTCAGTTTGGCCAGTTCTCTCCAATCTCTTCTCCACTTAAGGGCCATGGTGATGTTTTAAATATCTTTCTACATATGTAATTTATCTCACTAATTACAGGCCTTTACTAAATTCCTGATCTCTTAGGATAAAGGCCAAAATTCCCTGTGCCTCAGAACATTGCCCACCTCTCCAGCCTCATTCTTTTTCATTCTGGTCGCTTCTCCCACATACTGACTGCCCTCCTTTCAAATCCTCATATTCACCACCTTTTCCTTTATACTTTGAACATGTAGTTCCCTCTGTCAGAAACCCTCTTTGTGCCCCTCCAAGAACTTCCCATTGACATTCTAAAGTAATTACACTCACTCAAGTCTCTTAAAACGTCACTCCTACAGGAAACTTTCCCTGACTCCCCAGACAAGGGGAGAGGAACAGTCAGGCACTCCTAGTCCACCTTGTAATACAAACTCCTGTGTCAGTAACATTAACCACAATTGCAAAAACTTGTCCAACGATTGTCTACCCTATTAGAATATAAACTCCATGAGGGCAAGAGAAGCTTCTCATTTCACTGATGTACCCATAGTCCTTAGAACACAGTAGCTGCTCAAATAATATTTGGTCTCAGAATAACAGGCTGGGGCCAGAGTGTAGCAGGCTATGACATGAGGCCAAATAAATGAAGAGGCAAGGATCATTATCCCTTTGCAAATATGTAAACTGAGACATCCTTGAATTGCATAGTTATTTAAGGTCAGAGAGGTAGCACTTCTCCTCCCTAAAACGCTAAAAAGTATGGCTGGGAGAGAGAGCATCCTGAAAAAAGAATACAGAAATGAGAAGGTGGTGATAAGGAGGTCTAGGATGACAGCTTCTGAATCTGCTTGTCACACTAGTTGCCTCTGGGCATGAAAATCTAACCACCAGACAGACTTTCCATGCCTAGAAAAGCACTGATATTAACAAATATAACTACCACTGCACCCTTCTTCTTAACAGGGGGTATAAAATAACAAATTTCTTTTACCCACAAAGGAGAAGAAACCACAGGAGAGAAAGATTTTTTATTCAAATGTCTCCCTCTCTCTACCCCCCAAAAAGGCAGTTTTGCCACCTGGATAGTGCTCCTCAGCAACCAAAAGAGAAGTGAAGGGGAAAAGACTACCTTCCCAGCACTTACTGGAACAGTGATAAAAAATAAAAAATAAAAAGAGAACATTTCATGTAAAGCATTTAAAAAACCTTGCTAACCAACTGTCAGTTCTTAACACAAGTAGCAATACAGTTGGCATGAGCTCTACTGCAACATTTCATTGTTCATGCTGCCTGGGGCCAAGTTATGTCTGTCACCGCAGCCACAAACCAGGCCAAGGAGTCAGGCTCATTGTTGCTCATGCTACCAAGCACCAACTCCAAGAAAAAGAAAAGATAAAGCCTCCTGTGGAATTCTGTGGAATAAATATTCACCCTATCTACACACACAGCCTGGAGTTTCTGGGTGAGGTAGAGCAGGGGTGGGGAGGGTATTCAGAGATTGGGAAGAGACTTAAATAAGTAGATGTGATATACTGGTGATAAGAGGGAGATTCTGAAACACAGAGGAAAAAATGAGAATTGCAAATAGAGAAACAGGGAAAGAAACTGAAAGAACTTCAAAGGATGTAGAAGGGTGCAGAAAGGAAGGTACAGGGGAAAAGGGTAAAGTGCACCCTAAAAAGCAGATAGTAAGCAACAGACAGAGAGAGAGGCAAAGCCAGGCAGTCCATCTTTCCCCAAATCCAAAAGCTGCTCATTGCATTCCAATAAATCACTCTACTACTAAGCTCATACAACGGTTTGACCTTTGCATTCAGTAACAAGAAGCATTAAAAGAAGCATCACCCAGCTGTAACTTTGGAGATCCAATGGTCTGAATTAAAAACAGACAAAATCAGTTCAGCAGCAGAAGACAACCAGTAAATACTTTCCTCCAATGCCTGGCTTGACTATAAAAAGGTTTGGCATTTTATTTTTTTTTCTTTTGTGTGTGTGTCTTTGTTTTTCTAAAAAGGCTTGGCATTTCAGAGTTAAGCTTAAAGTACTGGCATTTCTCCTTCTTCTGACATTGCAAGGGGGGGTGTGGTTGACCCCAGGACCATTCATTTCCAAGGTTGTAGATCTCTCAGCTAAGACTTGCCCCATCTGCTCTTGAGTCAGCCAGCTGTTTATCTCAAAGTAAAATACTTATTGCACTAATCATCCTAATAACTTACAAGACAGTCAACATCGTACCAGTCAAGAATGCTTTCTGTCCTGTTAAATGTGTCAGTTCCTTTAAAAAGAAAAACTAAAAACCACTACTATGCTCCTTGGTTTCCTTGGCCAGGATCACTCTTTAATGTGTACCTTTCAGTAATGCCACGTGAAGGTTAACACTGCTTCTAACTTTCCCTTTCCCCAATGCCTTTAAATTAACCCAGGTTTCATTAATGATCCCTTCTCCAAACCGTTATTTGTAACTGGTGACTGCGCCTCAGGAAACAGCAGCTCATTATGGTACATACCACTGCCAGTGGCAAGGAGCCTATTGCAATGTAATTTAAAACACTCACACAAGCACAAATCTGTCGGCTCCACTTCCAAACAATCCTGAAATCCTGCAGTCGGGAAAACATTTAACAAAAATGCTGCTTCCAGCAGCCTAAGAGAAGCTTCCCCAGATACGTGAAATATTTCTAACTGGCACGGAGTGCACCATTAAAGGACACTGTCACCTCAAATCAGCAGGAAAGGCGAGGTAAACGATATAGACACACATATAAATTAGAGCTCCACAAAACTTAACCTACTCAGAAGAAGCACTCTCATCTTAAAAACGAATAGTGTGTGCTCGCCCAAGCGACACAGAAATGTTCTAAAGTAGTGCGACCACATTAAATCAGTGTCTCCATTCCCCACGCATCACCCCTTCATACCCAAACCTCAGACTCGGGCCGTTTGTGACAGGACTGCAGTCTCCCACCTCTGCCTTTTTCTGATTTTCCAAGAGCACTTTCCAACATCCTCCCCAGCCCAGCCCCCTCTCTCAGCTTCAAAAAGGTTGAGGGGAGTTGCGACTAGAGAATTGGCAGGAATCTGTCCTCTCGCGGGGGAAGGTTGCTGGAGTTGGTCTTTGCAGTGACCCAAATTGCACAGAGCTTTTCGCTTAGCATCGCTTGCGAGCACCTCCCCAATCCTCCCTCCCCCACCATCTTCCCAAAAGAAAGCCTTGAGAATTAAGCGGGAGGAATAACTTGGTATAACCGTTTGAATAAATCACTTCAACTCACCTGGTTTGGGATTTTTCTCCCCACCCCAGGCATAAACAGAAATGAGTGCGAATGAGTCACGCACGCAACGTAAGATGGTAAGATGTCTTAAGTCCAAGGGCTGGAGTGAGTCCCTGCCCTGATGCCGCTGCTACTCTTAGCTCAGCTGGAGCGAGCGGCAATCACAAGCCCAGCAGCAGCGGTGGGGGGGGGGGGGGGGTGGATAGACCGTAGCACAATGAATGCAGTGGGGTTTTTGCAATGACATCATCTCTCTGTCCAATCGGCCCCAATAGCCATGCTCAGGAGCGCTGCATACTGGGAATTGTAGTCTTCTGACGGCCTGTTGGGACCCTGAGGCTATTGCCGGAACTACAATGCCCAAAATGCGCCAAGGTCGGACGCATCCAGAGCGGACCCAGGGAGTGATGGAAACTCTGCCGCCATGACAGGAGTATCGGGACGTTTCTGCGGAGCCGGGCTGAGGTTTTGGGGAGCGCGCAAGCAGAGTGGCAGTGTGTTGGGGACGGTGAGGTAGCGGACAAGCCTGTTGAAAATCCAGGGGCCCGAACCGGGGAACCGGAGAGGGGAGGCTTCACTTGGGGACAGATGTAGGGCGGGTCTGGTTGGGGGCGGCAGCCCGAGGTCGAGTGGGCCTCGTCCTCACGGTCCTGCAGGGGTTGCGTGGGCTCCCTTACGCCTCTTGCTCCATTTTCTAATTAAGGTACTGAAGGAGTCAGCTGATTTCTCGGCTCTGAGTATTATTTAGACCAGGTAACGGAACAGTTGGGGTGGTTGGTGCCTTTGTTGGGACTCGGGGACCCCGGACAGCGACCTTCGCGTCTGTGGTTGGAGAGGCTTCCACCCACTGATTTGGGCGATCCCTGCCAAATTTATTTTTAATTTCTTAATTTATTTTCCATTTTTCCTTATCCCTCTACAAGGTTTATGACTCTCGTTGGTTTTTCATACAGAATGATTTACAAAAGGGTCCAAAGAAATCGATGTTGGAAAGGTAGACAAGTGCTTTGGGACTGACGGTGCTTTGCAGCTGCAATTGAGAAAAGATAAGGAGCAACCTAAAAGAGTATACCTACCAGCAAAAGGAGGGAGATGTTGAAGGGGGATATTATTGACGCATGGCGATCGGTTCCCGAGTGGCACGCGTTCTTGGGTCAACCTAGAGTACACGCTAAAATACTGCAGAATTGAGGTGTTCATTAGCATGGATGAACATCCATGCTTACTTAAATTTGTAATACTCCATATTTACAACTACTTTAACAACTAATTTTTTAAAACTAATAACTGAAACCAAAATCACTGGTCTTTATTTTGTCTAGTATCTCGAACTGTTGTGGGGTTTTTTTTAAATCACTTGTGTTACTAAAACAATGCTCTTGTTTATTTTTCAGAGTCTGTCTACACTATGGAAAGATGGGAGATCTCTCCTCCTGAGTGTGTCTGAAGGGTTAAAAATGCTGCTATACTTTGTGCTCTTTTTCTTCCTCTCTTTTGCACTTTATTCTGAAAACAAAATTAATTAGTTACTTTGGGTCAGTAAGGTATGCACTTCAACCTGTAAGGAGTTGATACAACTGTAGCTGATAGATAAATTCTCTTACCAAAAAAGGCTAGGCACAATGATTACAAATGATAAAAAACATGGTAGGAATAGTCTCTTAAATGTATGCAGATAACTACAAAAACAGTTTTATGAACAATCATCTTATATGTCATGTTTCTGGGAACAAGTCCCAAGATGAGTGGGTTTGTTTTATTTTAAAACAAAGGTAATATGTATTGGTCTCATTTATTCATGAATACAACAATGGGAAAGGCTCATGCAAATAATTCTGTCATTCAAAAATACCTTTGCAAGTAATGGTGGTAAGTATAGGAAAAGGAAAAAATGTTTACTAGTTTCTTTCTAATCTTCAATATAACTAAAGAAGTGTTTCAAACTTAATAGACTAGAGAGGTTCACATTTAGGCTTATTTTCAAGCTCTTAAATTATTTTCATTCAGGCTGTTTTTGTGTCCTGTACAAAATTATAGTGAATTTTATTCATTTTATAAGATATTTCTTTATATAAGCAATAACTTCCTCAATTTGAGTTACTGTGGAGGAAATATTATTGGGGGAAGAAACCCCAACAGATTTCTCAGAAATCTCATGTTTGAGAAGTGAGACCTGTGTAATGCACTGATTTCTGTAATGTGTCATGTGTTTGGGTAGTTTGAAGTTTTTCCAGCCTTATAGTCGGTGGACATCTAACCATAAAGAAACAGATCTAGCTAACATCTACAAAAGACTCCATGGTTTAACCCTTAATTTATAGGGGAAAAATCTATACTGTTATTTTAGAAATTTTATTAATTTTTGAGGAGTTAGTCATATCAGCTTCTGCAACAATAACCTCGATGTCCCAGCAGAAACACTGGGTTAGGAAAACTTTGAAAAGTGGAATTAGGAATGCTTTAGGTAGATACAGAAACCTTCTTTTTTTTCATCTGCCTGAAGAGAATTAGGACCTTGTTTTCTGTTATAGGTAACTCATTAAAGAGTATTGTATTGAGTCAGTTCAGTTGCTGTTAGAACAAAGGTTAGGTATCAGGATCATCTATTAGCAGAGGTGTCAAACTCACTTTCACCGTCGCCACATCAGCCTCACAGTTGCCTTCAAAGGACCCAATGTAATTTTAGGACTATAAATGTAACTACTCCTTAACTAGGGGCAAGGAGCTCGGCGCTGCCACCAGGTAGAAAAGAGGTGCCCTGCTGACCTTGTGCTTGCCACCTGTGATCTATAGAACTCTAAAATACATTATTATTGCTCATACATTCCTGCCAAATTGTCCAGGACTAGAACCAGCTATTGTGTATTTTTTAAAACTACAGGTGACTGACTATACAGGGGTAGGGTAGAGTAGTCCTTCATATCCCATATTTGTGTTCTCAGCGGTATGTCACACTAGTAATAAGTTTTGGCAAAGACTTTAGGTTTATAACTAATTAACCCATAAATTAATTATGAAAATGTATAGATAAATCACCTAGGGATTAATTTATACTTGGTAGTTGGGGAGGGAAGGAAGAAAAGATCAATTTTAGCCTCGAGAATATGTACCAAAATATCTTGACTTACCTATATATTTTTTAGAGTAAGGGTTTAGTCTAATTCTAAGGAGGTAATAAGAGACACATCCAATAAGAGCTTAATTCTATGACAAAATTATGGTAAACAAGTCTCTAAGTGGAAGCAAACAAATATTAGAATTTTCTGAAAGTAATTTTTTAAGTAACTCCTTTCCCTGAAACCTAATTTTAAAAAATTTTTATGTTATTTTTATTTGGATACATGATATGTAATACTGTATCTTTAGCTCCAAATTTGACCCCAATACTAAATTTGGGCTTTTTACACTCAAAATCTTATAGCAGTCTTTTAACCATATCTGCTAAAGAATAAAGACAAGACTCCAGAGAACAAGCATTTGAAATTTCTAAAGCAGCCTCCAGATTCAAACAGGTAAGGGATCTATCTTTCGGAGGAGGAAGGTCCCTTTAGAGATGGTAAGTGAAAACAATGTAGTGTCTTGGAGGATAATATCAGTGACCTCTGGATTCCTACTGTTTTAGTTTGAAATCTTTTTCTTTTTAAGACTTTATTTATTTTTATTTTTAGAGAAGGGAGGGAGAAAGAGAGGGAAAGAAACATCTATCAGTTGCCTCTCTCAGTCCCCCAAGGAACCTGATGGGTTATGGAACCCTGTCTTCAAGATGCCACCCAACCCACTGAGCTACACCAGTCAGGGCTGTGAAATCTAGCAACATTCTAAACCTCAGTGATTGTAGGCTCCAGGGTATGGGAGAGGATTAACAAAATAATCTATGTAAAGCATTTAGCTAGGGCTTTGGAACAGGTGTGTGTATGTGTGTGTGGTTAGAAAGTAGATACCCAGTACATAGGACCCCAAAGATAGGTATTACCTCAGATTTACTCTTTAAACAATTCGATGATAAGTGAAACTTGCATGACTAAGCTGTAAGCTATATTACCAAAGTACAGCTTCACTTCTTGCTATGATAGAGGGCAATAACAATACTTTTCAGCCCTTACCATAAGGAATGTAGAATTCCCATTAATGAGTTGTGTCATTAAGATTATTGTAGTGCCTGAGGTGGCTGAAGTTAAAAAATTGTGATAACAGATTTTGCTTGTGTACCTCTGTAGCTTGAAAAAGAGTTGATTAAGACAGACCCTATCTTAATTGAGCATCACTGTAGTTCTCTAAAAGATAATATTCTAAATTATGAAAAATGTTAGAATTATTTCATGCTTTACACAGTTCTAAAGTAATACTTGTATATTCCAAGCCATGAAATTTGAGAGAACAGCTCTCTGTTGTCTGCCTTTCTATCTCTCTCTTCCAAAATAGAATCAATTTTCTTGTTTCAGAATTGAAATGCCAGCAACCCAAAAGTGATGTAGACCCAGCAGTTACATTAAAATTATTCTATCCTGATCACAGAGTTGAGATTAGCAAGCTTAAGGGGGAAAAAATACATTTTACCAGATCTTTTCAGGCACCACCTTCGATGAAGTTAAAAGTCGTCTACAATGTGCATTTCTGTAAGTGGACATGTGAGCATGCCATATGGGGTTCAGCAGTTGGAGTTTCCCAAGAAAGATTTTAACTCATGTAATAACTTTTTAACATTTCACATTTTACTTTTAGTTAATATTCAGGAATGGAAAACATTTTCTAGTCCTGTTTAGTTGTGTTTGTAGCAAATTGATACAGTTTTAGCTTCTGGCTTGAAAATGCCAATAAAGGTAAATGCAGTAAATACCCCAAAGTCAAGATTTAAATCAAAATGTACATAGTTAATTATTAACCAGAAAAATCTGCCCTCTTTCTCAGTTTTTATAGGTTTGGGTAATTAAAGTGTGTGCGCATATGCATGCAAGAACAAAACATTTATTTGCATGATAAGTATGTGAAAATGAACTTAAATATAATATGTTCATGAATATAGCCATTTAATAACATCACCAGATGATTCCTCCACCTAATTTCATTTAAAAACACTAAGATAAAATAATTTACCAAATTCAGACCTCTAAGTGTAATACCTCTTTTTTATG